GGAGCAGCTGGACATCAATGTGAGGGAGCAAAGGATGCTGTTTCCTCCTCTAAAAGAGCAAGGATGCAAAGACAGACTCCAAATTCTACTGAGGAGCCCAGAAAGACACCCGGACAAAGGGACACAGTGGGGCATCATCTGTCTGTGGTGAGCCGGGGATGTAGCTCAGGGTCCAAGGTGGCATCTCAAAGAAGGGCTTTTTCAGGCCACGGACATGCAAGGTGACTCATGCCAGGACATCTTGGAGAGGAAAGTCCCAGACGGTCGAAGGAAAAACTAAAGGCCTTAATTCATGCTGGATCTACGAGAGACAAAGAAAAGTCATGTCTGACAGTCAGAGGTGAGGCTTCAAGGGAAGGAGAGAGGCAACCATGACGAGCAAGAGGAGAAGCTGGAGTGGGAGCAGAGAGGAAGATAAAACACTCCGAGCAAATGGAGAGAAGCAACGGATCCATGAGAAAAAAGATGGAAGGAGGCAAGGAGAGAGGGAGGGAGACCCAGAAGAAGGGAGGGAGGGACCCAGGAACAAGTGACTGACCAGGGACGGCAGAGCTCAGCTGAAGTGAGCACGGGGACTAGAAAGAGGCAGCAGGAGCCTGGGGGAGAAGGAAAACCTACAGAAAAGAGCATGTCCCCCAAAGGGAGGAAGGGCCACTGAGGGGACAAATGGGAAGGAGCGGGGGGATGGGCCAGGGCGTCCCATCCCTGGACCCTTCCTGCACCTGGGGGCAGGCCAGGCCAGGGCTCGAGGGTCTCCCTAGGGTCCCTGAGTCCTCCCGGCATCCTGTGAGCTCTGTGGTGGGAGAGGAGACAAGTACCTTCCCTGCAGGGAGCAGAAGCCGCCCTGCCACACAAACCCCCTGTCTGCCTCCTCGCCCCCACAGGGACTCTGTAATTCTCTCCAGTGTCACCTACCCCAGGACCCTGCCTCCACACTCACCACAGGCCAGAATCCTCCCTCTGGGGGCTGGCTGGGCACTCCCCAGCACCCCTGCCAAGCCTCTGACCCCCGAAAGCCCCACCTCACCGCACCACTCCCCTCGCTGGGTCCCAGCCCCTGTCATCTGCGGGGATGACCTGTGGTGGGGTCTGGGCTGCAACGTTCTCAGGCAGGGGTGTCTGTGCTCAAGTTAGGGACGTAGGCCTTCAGGGCCCATTCGGAACCAGGACTCCCGGAAATGGCCCATGGGACCCGGCAGCCCCGGTGTGCTCACAGCTACACCAGAATGTTCTCCACGCATTTGTGCCCGATTTCCACATGGCAGATTCCCGCCCACAGGGAAGGCAAGTCTGGGTCAGTCCTTCCCTGTGTCCCCCAGCCACTGAACAGCACCCAGGAGCCCCGCCTCATGGACCCAGCCGGGGGGGAACCAGGGATGCAAGGCCGGGCCAGGCAGCGTCCTGCCCTCAAGGAGATCCCAGTCTGAGGCAGACAGGGAGGACCCGGGGCCCCACTTCTCCATCCCACAGACCCCCCTCTATCCATGACTGGATCCTGTAGTCTAGACTTGGCCCCCCAGCCGAGGGGATGACTCAGGACAGGGCACCCTTCCTCATTGTCCACTCCCATCGTACGCCGCCAGCACGTCTGTGTTACACATGCCGGGAGGACAGGTATGGGGTTGGGAAGAGCCCCGCCAGCTGCACTTTTCTCCCTGCCCATCGGGCGTGTCTTGGCCTGTCCCCGCCTGGTGCCTGGCTATCGAGGACGTCCTTGGGAAGCCACACGGCCACCACTGGCCAGTTGCATGGCTGGTAACATAGTGTGACATCGTAACATCTTGTGACACTCGTGCCCTGCCCGAGAAAGATAAAGTCTTCTAGGGGCATGTGGCTGCTGAAGGTGGGGGGTGGGCAGGCCAAAGGAAGGTGCAGAGGGCTTTCTGGGGTGGAGGGTGGTGCTTTTTCCTCTCTCTCTGTGTCTCCAACCAGTGGGACCAGCCTGGGAACTTCGGTGGCCTTTGCTGGTGGCCCCCGGGCTGCCCAGCCCTGAATTCGGCTGGTCCATGAGGGCACATCTCACGCTTTTCTCTGTTGGAGTTGGGGACACGGTCACCCCTGAGACCCAGACACTGCCTCCTGCCTTCCTCAGGTCCCCTTTGCGTGATGCCTGTCCCCAGGGCCCCCGCCTCAGGTCACTGATCCTCTGTCCACATGGCCACTGGGCTTCCTCCCTGCCCATGGCCTCTGACCCCGCGGGTCCCAACACAAACCCCTTCTCCGTTAGGGGGCAGCTTAGGTGGCCAACATAGGACTGTCTAACGGGGTGACTCTGCTGATCCCACAGTGGAAGGTGGGCCCTTCCTCCACGGTGATGTGAGCTCAGTGTCACAGGGATTTTGTTCCAGAAGAGAGGCCAGGACCTGGTTTGGGCCTGATCTGCTCCCAGGCGGAGAGGGGGTCCTTTTCCTCCCCTACCAGGAGCCCCAGATGCATCAGGGCCCGGGGCGGGGTGGGGGGTCCCCAGGGGCCTCTCTCAGCCTCCAGTGGGAGAGGGGCTCCAAGCAGCATGTCACAGGGACGTCTGTCCAAGTGGACCGAAGCTTCGGCATCCAGTTCCTGGGGATTTCCTCTGGCCATCTGCCCACAATGCCCGAGCACCGCTGACTCTCAGCGCCGCGGCTTCCTTGAGAACACGGCATCCTGGGACCGACCTACATGTGCTCGTGGGGGACTGGTGGGATCCAGTGAACCGGGGCTCCTCCCCGCGTAGAACATCGTGTGTCCTTTTGAATATCGATGCTGTCCTCTCAGTATTTGAAGAGTGAGCATTCCTTTTATGACAGGTTTCAGACTTGGGGCAGCGAGCATGACAGGCCGGGGGCAGAAGGGGGCCAGCAGGTGTGGACACAGTCTGGGCTCCAGTGCAGGGCAGCAGACCCCCGTGGGACAGAGGCCGACCCCGCTCCCAGGCCTGTGCCCGTCTTCCTCCCTGACTGTTGGCCCCTCCTGAGTCTGAGCTGGAAGTCAGGGGTGACTGGTTTTCCAGAACCTTACCGTGGGCAAGAAAGGGGGAACAGGGGGGTCCTAGGTTGGCTGTCTCGGGTCTCTTTCTCATGTCTGCACATGGCCACTGGGTGCTCCCGTGGGGTCCTATTTAACGCTTGGTTTAAGTAAACGATAAGAAAGCGTGTTAATGGTGGGCTTAGTGTTTGACAGGGTAGTGGTTTAGGTCCTTGGGAAAGTTCTGTCTGCGAATATAAAGGGTCGTGGGCTTCCTTTCCGAAAAGTAATTGTTTCCTGCAGGAGCCTATCTAACTTCCTCTTCCAGAAGGAGCCCCTTTATGCTTTCGAACAGGGCATCTGAGGCTCGGCTACGGCTGGTCAAACTGCATAAAATCCTGTCCTCACCACTCTCCACTCTGGGGAGGCCCGCGCTGCCCGCGCACACGGCCTCCTCCGTGCCAGGCTGCTCAAGCTGGGAGCCAGAAGGGGCAGGACGGGCGGGGGAGGATTTGTGGCCCGAGGGTCCCCAGGAGCAGAGACGTGCCCTCTGTTCTGCACCAGCATCATCTTGTGTGCGGGGGACAACCGTGTCACGCCTTGCCCTGAGCCCTGGACCAATCACACAGCCCCACCCAGTCCTGATCAGTCTGCATCTGCTCTAGGTGACAGGCCTGGAGGCCCATCTTGTTCCCTCTGCAGCACAAAAGGGTCTCCAGAGGAACCCCCGGTGGGAACCGTGTTTCTGGGGTCTCCCATCTGCCACCCTCCAGGAACGGCCACAGCTCTTGTCCGCTGGAGGACGCACAGGTTCCGAAGTTGTCCGGCCTATTCCCTCTCTCTCCCGCCCCGGGTCTGAGCCACGCTGGCTAGAGGAGCTGCTGTCTGGGGGCGGCTGCCACTGGGGCCCCAGATGTCCCGCAGGAGAAGACAGGCGCTGGGAGGGGAGCTGGGGGTCAAGGCCAGGGGCAGGTGCTCACAGCAGCCTGAGCTCCCCAACTCCTGCCTCCGAAGTCCACAGCTGGGGGCAGCTCTCCCTGGCAGTCAGCCCCTCTCCCCCAGCGCCCTGTCCTTAGGCTCCTTCTGTCCTGTCCTCCCCTGGGTCCCTCTCCTCTCCATTCTACCGTCTCTCTGGGTCCTTTGCTCCACCAGCTCCTTCCCTGTGGGGTGCAGCCCTCCCTGATTGAGCCCCTTCCTCCCTCGGGGCGCCACGGCCCTCTCTCCGTTCCTCTCCATCCCTCCCTTGTCTCCACCTGAGTCAGGGCTCTCCCCAGCCCCTTCCAGTCACCCTGGGAGGCAGGACACCCTTTGGGCCCTGACAGGGACGCAGGCCTGTGAGGATGGACTGTGGACTTGCCCTGGGCCTCAGGAAGGCCTCGTGCACCAGCTGCCAGGCCTCCCCTCAGGGAGTGTGGACGCCTCGGAGAGCAACGGGAGGGAGACCCCCGGCCTGTGGGGGTCCTGCCCTGCTGTGTGTCCTGTGTGGGCCCCAACAGGGGACTCTGCCCCAGGTGCCCTGTGTCAGGAAGGGGCAGAGCTCAGCTGCTGAGCAGGGAGGCCCCTCCCTCTGGCTTCCTCCCCAAGGCAGCCCAGGGGTGAGGACTGGAGAACCTCCCACCGCCCCAAACCTCAGGTGTGCGGGTTCCTCCCCGGTATTTAGATTCTTTCTTTCTAGTCTCTTGCAGCACAGCTGTCATTTCCACTCAGTGCCCCTGATAATAGGATTGGTTGGCAGGGGGGAGGTTTCTGATTTCTAGAACGCTCCTCCCCCAGCAAGTCAGGCTTAGCTGATTCTTCTCCCAACAGAGGGAGTTGGTGTGATCCCGCTGAAGGGCCCCCACGGAGGGAGAGGTGTCTGCCCGCGGCTCTCCGGACTCGGGACACATTTCCAGGGAAAACCTTTGGTAGAAGATCCTTGACGTTGCCGTCCATTTCTCTGCATTTGAAATCAATCCGTCACTTCTCTAAATGTGGAAAACTCTTCTGACAGCGATGTGTGTGATCTTAATCACGTATATTTGAACCTAAGGTAGATTTTCCAGGACAAGTAAATGCACTCAGATTTTTTCATTCAAGACAACTTCTTCTGGGCTCATGGCCTCTTGCTGGTTTCCGGGGATCAATCTGGAGAAGGCGGTGGAGAGCGGGTCTGCATGGCTTGGGAGGAAGTGCTTTATTCTGCTGCTCACAGAGGCCTCCCGTGCGTGCGTGCGTGGTCTTTGGCGAGACCGAAGTCCATCCTTCAGGCTTCCTGCTGAGGGAGGAGAAGGGGGACTTGCATGGCACAGGCTGGCAGTGGGACAGGTGGGCGGGGGCAACAGAGAAGGGGTCTGGCAGCCCCAGAGAGGGGAAGGGAGGGGGCCGCAGGAGGTGAGGGAGCAGAGGAATCTCTCCAAGGGGGCGGGAGGGGTGGCACGGCCCCCAGGAGGGAGCAGGTAACCCAGGGGAGGCTGTGAGAGGGGCAGGGAAAGGCCAGGCAGTGGAGAGGAGGGAGGAGGGCAGGGGAGGTGGCAGGGAGGGAGGGAGGGAGGCACCTCACCTGGAGAATGCCCTGCAGGGTCTCAGAGAATTTCTGACTCTCCTCGTCCAGACCCGGCCAGGGCTGGAAGCTTCCTCCCTGGTGGAGCACGAAGGTGTCCCAGCAGTGCTCAAACTCTGCCGAGGGGCGGGGGAGGGACGTGAGCCCGGCTCCGGGGAGGACTCTCGGGGACAGCCTGTGCCCCTCCTAGCTGCACCCCTGCTCTTTCTCCTCTGGGGCCCCCCGGGCTCCCTGGGACTCTTTCTTCAGGCTGGAACCTCAGCCAGCCTGGCCTCCCTTCTTCCTGCAACCCCAGTCTCCCTGGCATGCCCACCCACCATTCTCCCTGCCCTTCTGCACACACCTGTCCTGCGCTGACCTCTCTCTTCTCAGCGACCCTGCTGTCCTCTGCTGTCCAGGCACCTGGCCTCCCCTCCGCAGGCAGCCCACAGGGGCCACCCCTAGGGACACTACTCTTGTCCTCCCCCAGAGCACCCCCCACCAGGCCTCTCCCTACCCTCCACCCACCACCCCTGTGCCCTGCAGGAGGCCCACACTGACCCCTGGCGGTCATGATGGCGATGCTGGCCCCAGCCCTCTTCAGGGTGCACAGCCCCTTCTCATAGTCTCCCCGGCTGTAGATGCGGGAGGCATAGAGGTTCAGGCTCACGTGGCTGTTGTCCCCCAGAAACTCAGCCATACGCTGGGCACAGCCGGCACAGGGGCTCCAGGAGAGAAAGCAGGTGACCCTGTACTGGTGTCCCGGGTTCAGGTTCCAGGACTGGATCTGCTCCAGCAGGAAGGACTCCGCGTGGCGGGAGATCCTGGGGTCCTGGTCACTCTGGGCACACAAGAGGCAGGAAAGGCTTCTGTCATTGGTGGTGAACACGGGGGAGGGGGCACCAGGGAGAGGCAGGGAGGTCCTGGCCTCAGGCACAAAATGCAGGGGGAGGCCTTCTCAGAAGGAGGTGAATGGGATTTCCCTGCAGTGTTCCCAGGCTCCAGGCTCCCCACCACTGGCTGACAGGCCAGTGAGGGCAAGTTCCCAGGGAGCCTGTGAGCGAGCTGAGCACCTGCATGTGCCTCTGCGCGCTAGGGCTCTGCATCCCGCTCTACCTGCTGGGCCTTCTTCGGATTCTTGAGATTTCATTTATCATGGGATTTGCCTGAAGTTTGACTTTGAAAAGATTGCGTTACAGTATGTTTCAGCGTGACCACTGAGTTTCTTTCTATGTTTGTGCCCCAGGGAAGGGGCTTCAGGACTGTCACCTAGCGGGGCCCTGCAGACAGCAGCAGAAGAGCCCCGGAAAGGGAAAGGGGGGCCAGGGGAGCTCCGAGTTCCCTGGCCTGGTGCCCTGGCAGTGGAGGCTTCCTCCAGGAAGGGATCCAGCCCTGTCCTCGCCCACCGCCACCGAACCCCACTCCCACCTTGGCACCAGCGCCCCTGCAAGCTTCTGCCCTGGCCCTCACCCCGCGCTGAGCCCACGGGTGACACAGAAGGGCTCACTGTGCAGGGAGGAATGGGGAAGGGGCACCCAGCAGACAGGCGCCTGGGCATGGCGTGAAGGTCATTGTCGGGGCTCGCAGAGCTGTGGAGACGGGTGCAACCTGTCCAGGGACAGATTGTCCGCCCGGGACCGGGAGCAAGTCAGCTCAGCAGTGCAAACTCAACGATCTGGGCAGAGTGGGATGGGGACGCGGGGACCGAGGGGGGCTCCCTGGGCGATGCTGGAATGGGGAGCCGTGCCTTGGGCAGGATCTCCAGCAGTGGGCAGGGGTCCTGCCAGGGCCCCTGCTGGTGAGCTGGCGGAGCGCCGAGAGCCAGCAGGTCTCGGGCTCTACGGCAGGCAGCCGCCCCCAGGCAGGGGCCAGGGAAAAAGCTGACCCCGTGTCCAGACGCCTTTCCCCCTGTCCTATCCCTTCCTCAGAGGCACAGCAGTGGGGGGCAGGAGTGGAAGGAGTGTCATTCGGTGAAAAGGGTTGATGGTGCCAGTCCCTGGCACAGTGTGACTGCTTTCTGACGTGTGGCTCCAACCCAGAAACCACAGCAGAAACAGTCCCCACCTGACACTAAGCTGAGGGGTGGCGGCTGGGGGACCGAAGGGGAAACATTGGTGAGACCTGCTCAGGTCCAGCCAGAACGTTCTACGGCGAACGTCCCAGGATGGGGAGGCCGTGCGAGCTGCGGTCCGGCTGGACTGGTCACCTTATTGCGCAGGACGCCCTTGTCCTGGCCCGGAGGAATCCCGGATCCCTGAGCGGGATGCTCCACCTCGTAGCACAGGTAGGTCCTGGGGGGCCAGTTGTCGTTGCGGAAGTTGTCGGTGAAGGTGTCCTCGTGCAGCCTGTGGACAAAAGGGTGGGGGAAGGGATGAAGATGTGGCCTCCCCCTGGAGTATGGAGAGTCCTCTTGCTGAGGGATGTTTGGCATAGAAGAGAGATTTTACACTGAAATGAAGATACTCGGGGGTGGGTGCGTGGCTCATTGGGTCAAGCCTCTGCCTTCAGCTCAAGTCATGATCCCAAAGTCATGGAATCGAGCCCCGCATCGGGCTCTCTGCTCAGCAGGGAGCCGGCTTCCCCCTCTCTCTGCCTGCCTCTCTGCCCACTTGTGATCTCTCTGTCAAATAAATAAATAAAATTTAAAAAAGAAAAACAGTGAAGATACTCAATGTTTAAACATCTCAACTCTTTCTCATGGGTTCCTTGCTGTTTGCTGGTATCCCTCGCCCTTTCCCCTGCATCCCACATTCTGGCCAGACCCACAGAGGACAGGCTTCCACTGGCTTTGCTGGATCCACCCAGGCTCCCTCTGGGACCCCTTCTGGGAGCTCCCGGGGGGCCTTCCCGCTACTCTGTCAGGGGACCCCCAGGAGTCGCCCAGGGTGCTCAGACCCTCTGCTGGGTCCTCTCCCCCTGCCCATGGTAGGCTCTCATCCCATCTCCTGGCCTCGCCATCCATCCTTGTCCCCGAGGAGCTACTCCGCTGTGTGGAGGGACATCCCGGGGCTTTCCCCTTTGGTTCAAGTTTGGCCCACTCCTCAGTGCGCGCCGGGCCCACATACACCCGTGCAGGACCACTGCCAAAAAGAGGACCCAGGAGCCTCAACTTCCTAAATAGTCGTGGGATTTTCCCTAAGGATGAAAATACCAAAGCCCTTTGCAGGCCTAAAATCTTAAAACTGAAAGGGACCTCCTGGCCCTCTGCTCAGAGGGTTCCCCCGGCAGGAAGCATAGACTCCCAAGGGCATTGGAGGAAGGCCAGAATGGGGACCTTCAGGGACGATTCCCCAGGAGCCCGGGTGAGGCCGTTTGGACAAGCAGACTGGGCATCGGCGGACGGGGCTCGGTGGGCCTGGGACGGGCCAGCAGGAACAGGCAAAGAAGAGCAGGGGCCCCCAGGGGTCCAGGAGGAGACCTCGAGGGAGTGCATGTCCCCCTCCAGGACAACCTTGGGCAGCCCCGAGGAGGGGCTCAGAAGCAGAGGGGATGCAGGGGGCTGGGGTTACCTGTCCAAGGCCTCTGAGCCGGCATCCATGTCTCGGTCCTTCACCACCTCTGGCTCTGTGTCTGCGGCTTCTCTGCCTCGACACGCCTATGCCGTGCTCTCGGGGTGCTCGTCAAGGACCCAGGCGCCTTATAAGCCATCAGAGCGCCTGGAACCTGCTGAGCTGGCATGACTGGGACACACCCCGTCCTAGACTCGGGCTACTCATGCCGCCCTCATGGGTGTTGACGTAGGAGGAACTTCTCTGCCAGCGGTCACATCCCTAAGTCCTCAGGGTCAAGTTAGGTTTTGGTTTCTCTGCTCTGACGAAGGTCCTACCTGGAAGCCTCGAGGAGTGACCGAGGGCAGATGGGGTCCGGGGAGAGTCTGGTCTCTCTGGGTAGCAGGGCCCAGCAAGGGAGGAGGTGAGAGGACAGGCGTCCGGGCCTGGAGAAAGGTCCTGTCCCAGGGCACAGTGCCCCGGAGGGAAGACTCCCAGGGAGCCCCACCCTGGGTCCCCCTCAGCAGCCAGCAGGAGCAGGGCCTGGCCCAGGCTCCCCGGGACCAGCTGGGGGAGACCCCTGCCCGCACTTGCTCACAACAGGGGCGGGGAGGGCGGGAGCGTCTGGTCTGAGAGCCTCAGCAGAGCCTTCACCCCTGCCCCTGCCAAGGGAGGACGACAAACCCTGACTGAGCTGTCCTCAGGAGCCCAGCACCCAGTGGAGGGTGGCAAACCGGCCGTGGGGCATTTGTACCCCGTTACCTGCAGGGGAAAGAGAGGCTCCCAGAGGGAATGGGACGTGGCCAGGTCTGCACGGGTGTGGAAGGATGCAGTGACGTTGTGGGGATACGGGCCTCCCGTGGGGCGGTTCTCTTGTTCTGGTGCTCCCCTCAGGACCGCGAGGAATGAGGGGGAATTTGCATTCCCGCCCTGAGCAGGTCCCGGAGTCCACGCCGGCCGTTCATCCCCTTGGTCTGCCCCTCTGTCCCACTGACTCCCCCATTCCGGCTTCCCTTAGAACCCGCAGTCCTGGCCCAGGGCCGCCCCTCCCTGGGGGATGTGTCTGTCCTGGGGTTACCTGGGACAAGTGGGGCCTGAGTCACAGCCTGGCTGCCTGCACCGAGAGCCACCGGGCTCGTCACCCTCCCAGGCTGTCTAATCTCATCCTGACACTGGGAACCTCAACGCCGTGTCCCCTCCTTCTCGGGCGGGCATCCCTGGTCCCGGAGAGATGGGAGGCTGCCCTCCCCGTACCTGCATTGAGGTCTTTCCCCTGTCCTCCATCCTCTAGATCCGGTCCCCTCTAGCGCTGATACCATGCCCTGGGGCCCAGGAGGTCTCGGGCACGCTTGCCCCGTACTCATACTTCCCAGGTCCTAGCCTCTGCACACAGCAGACACACACACCCAGCCGTCTCCAGCCCTCCTGACCTGGAGCCCTCATCCCCACCTGGACTGGGGCTGCAGGGGCCAGACGTGGGCCCCTGAGGATTTCCCAAGCCAGTCCCCAGCTCTCGCCTTCCGTGGTGGGGTGGATGGGGGATGCGGCCCTGAGGAGACCAAGCTCTCCTCCAGGACCCCCCGAAGTCTCTGGGGTGATCTCTGCTGGTTCCCACACACCCTAGGTTTCCTTGGAGGGACCCCTGTGCACTAAGGCCCGCGCTGGGGGCAGACGGTGTCTCTAGGAGTGCAGGGTCCTGCTGCACAAACCGCTGCCCTGGGAGACCCTCGGAGGGCAGCCCCCCCCCCCCCCCCCCCGCCACGTCTGCCCCTGCCTTTCCAGGGGGCAGCAGTGAGCAGCTAGAGCGCCCGTGTCTCTCTGGGCTGAGGCTGCATCGCTGGCTCTCCTGACCAAAGGTGCCCCTTCAACATGCTGCCACGTTTGGTGGGGAGACCAATGGGGGCCCCATGGCAGGGAGGGCACTTTGCTCCTGCCTCCCCGGGGGCAGACTCCCTACCAGTCTCGCTCCTCTGCCAAGAGCTCTGAGGCCTCCAGTTCTGGAAAGTCCTCTGGCACCCCGTCCTTCCCGGATCCCCTGACCCCAGCTTGTCCTGACCCCCCACCCCGCATTGGGTGCTGCCCGCTGCCACCTGGCTGCCTGCCCAGAGGCAGACAAGACCGGCCCCATGCGTCTCCATGTCCGGAAGTCGCCTTTGCAGTAAGCGACCAGAACACGGGCAGAAAGAGGATCCGTGTCCTGGGAATGCCAGAGGGACGTCGTGGGGAACAAGGTCTTGTTCTTCTCCCGAAGCTTCTGTCTTGAGTCACCTGTCTGAGTCTGGGCAATGAGGGCCAGGAGCTAGAGCGGACACTGCGTGGGAGTGGGTGGACCTCCCCTCTCGGTTCTCGTGCCCCTGGTCCTTCTGGAAGGACCCCCTTCCCGGCATCCTCCCACCACCTCCCTAACCCCCCAGAGCTGGACTCCCCGGAGCAGCCGAGGCCCAGGGACTAGTGTGCTCCCGGGCCCGAGTCTCCCGAGGCCAGGGGAGACCATGCTTTGGTAAAGGCCACAGTGGAGCCTGGGGGTGAACTCTGGGTCCAGGAGTCGCGCTCGACACCCCGGACGTGGCCATGACCTAAAAACACGCAGGTGGCTTTCCTCGGTCCCCGAGGCCAGAAGCAAGAGCAGGGCAATCGTGTCCTCCACGGGAATGACCGCCCCCTCCCCCAAGTGTGCCTCTGGACCACTGAGTGAACCTGTGAAACGATCCCTACAGGAGTCCCGCTGAAATTCTCCCTCAAAGCGCGCCAGGGTCCCAGAAGGGAAGGGAGGACCTGGGTCCCTGGTGAGAGCAGATGTGTGCCCACCCCCAAACCCCAGGCAGGGGCAGGCCATGCCAGGACTTCTCCCCGGGGGAGCTGAGACTGGGATCCCAGACACAGACTGAAGCCAGAGGGCCCCAGGGAGGGTGCACGCACCCCTGCTCAGCCTGAGTCTCTCTGGGACTCGGGGCATGGAAGGTCGCATTCGTGTCTGGACCCCAGGCCGGGCTGCTCTGGCTGAGGTCCCAACCCTGTCTCCTCGTGGATGGCCCCCAAACGCTATAGCCAGGGGCGAGGACAGACTGCCCATGCCCTGCCCAGGACGGAGTAGCCTTCCCGGGCTGTGTCATGTCCTCTTTCCAGCACCTCTGGGTCGTCCCTGGCTCATGGGCAAAGTTCTGGGACTGGGGTCTGGGGATTGACAGGGTCCTGGGGCGACAGGCCCTGGGGTAGGGGACAGGTCTTCCTGGAACCTACCCTCTGAAGACACTGGCTGTGGGGACCCTTCCTCCTGTGGAGACTCAATCCTCTACCTCGATTGCCCGCTCTGCCCTGAGTGACTGCATTGTGGATTTGTTGGTGATTTGCCTCTAGTGACAGAAGTGAGGATGGTGTCAGAGCCCAGAAAACAAAACCAAAAGAGTGATTTCATGAGGAGTTTCTTCCAACAACTAC